TTTGAATGGCTCTTTTCTTTTTCACTTTGGAGTCTCTTCACCTTTTCCAGTAAGCTTCTATCACCTCATCTCATCCTTCGTTCTCTGCCTCCACCTCCCGCTCGTCACCTTCGCCATCTCCTCGTGACCTCCACCTCCCGCTTGTCGCCTCCGCCTCCACCCTCCCGCCTCCCCTCGTCGCCTCCGCTTTTCAGGTATCTTTTGGGTTTTTTATGATTGAAGCCTTTCTGCAATTCATGCCTAAATTTCTTTATGTGTGGTTCAAAAGCAATTGTTGATTTCTTTTCTATTCCTCTGGTTACTGCTTTTCCACTTCTAAAGCTTGAAACATGCAGCTTTAGCTAGTTTTGTGATATTATAAACGAAAGATGAGTCATTGTACATAATGCAGATCATGCTTGTTCACCATACACATTGTAATAGGTCGTGTGATTTTTCTGTTTCTGTTTGGACAAAATGAGATGAAACGATGCTGTGGCACAATTTCCTTAGGTGCATAAACTATGTTTTTGTGTTTCTTTAGCTTAGAATCGACAAAGAGGAGAATTCATCTTGCAAACCCGGTTTTGCTTGGGCAAATTTGAGTCAGAATACGATTGGATAAAAATGCTCAAAGTTTCAACTTTTGTGATGCAAACTGTAATCTACTTCATTTGCATTTTCATGGGAATATTAGTGAAAATCCAGGGCTTTGTTATCTATGTAAAGAGCTTTGTTAATAAAATAATATTAAGGATTGGCCTAGAGAGAAGTGGGTATGGCGTTTTCTATTATGATTGAAATATGCAAAGTTCACAATTTTTTACGGTCACTAACTTACATTTGTACAAATTTTTGACAGATTATTCCAAGTACTTTGGTGCTAGCTCAATTTGTTCTTGGGGCAAATGAGTATGACTCATCTTTTTGGAATTAAAGTTTTCACTTTATCTACCTTCTTTAAATGATTAGAATTTTTCTTTTAAAAATTTGTAAAGGCTGCAAAGGATAATATCATCGTGCACAATGTTGATAAAGAATTTGGATTTAGAATTGGCATAATATTTGCTAACAAGGATGTAGCATATAAGACGTACAATGCATATGCAATTTCCAAAGGATTTGGAGTGAGAAGAGGACAAAAGGCACACAATAGTAAAGGAATATTGCGAACATGCACATTTATTTGTAATTGTAAAGGACACTCTTCACTAATTCTACCTCATGAATAAAGCCTTGGATTTCCACTAATATTCCCATGAAAATGCAAATGAAGTAGATCACAGTTTGCATCACAGAAGTTGAAAATTTGAGCATGTCTATCTGATCGTATTCTGACTCAAATCTGCCCAAGCAAAACCGGGTTTACAATATGAATTCTCCTCTCTATCGATTCTAAACTAAAGAAACACAAAAACATAGTTCATGCACCCTAAGGCAAACCGTGCCATAGCATCGTTTCATCTCATTTTGTCCGAAAAGAAACAGAAAATCGCACGACCTATTGCAATGTGTGTAGTGAACAAGCATGATCTACATTATGTACAATGACTCATCTTTCGTTTATAATATCTCGAAACTAGCTAAATCTGCATGTTTTTTTTTTGGTAAAGGACAAAAAAACATGCAGATTTAGCTAGTTTCGAGATATTATAAACGAAAGATGAGTCAAGCTTTAGAAGTGGAAAAAGAGTAACGAGAGGAACATAAAAGAAATCGACAATTGCTTTTGATCCACACATAGAGAAATTCAGTCATGAATTGTAGAAAGACTTCAATCATCGAGAACCCAGAAAATACCTACAAAGTAGAGGCGACGAGGGGAGACAGGAGGGCGGAGACGGACGCTGGAGGCGGAGGCCACGAGGGGGAGGCGGGAGGGCAGAGGTGGACGTCAAGAACAAAGGATGAGATGAGGTGAGAGAAGCTTTCTAGGGAAGGTGAAGAGACTCTAAAGTGAAAAAGAAAAGAGTCGTAAGTGAAAGAGGAGAGTGAGGGTGAGGGAGAGAGAGAATGCTCGCATTAAATGCGTTGCTTGTGTGCTCAGTCTTCCCAGAGGCGCCAGAGAAGAGAGAGTATGAAAATATGGCATTTTTTTTTATTTCAGGTCAAAGCCACATGTCGCTCCACTAGTGGGTCCACATGAGTTTATGCACGTCACGTAGGCACGTAACACGGCGTGCACAAACCACTAAATATTTTTTTAAAAGCCTATAAAAGGGACAAAGCTCGGATAGAAATGGCACAGTCTACAAGAACGAGAAACAAGAAAAATCGCAATCTATTGAAAAGGACTGGAGTCTATTGCCTCTATAAGTTTATTATATCAATTTGAGTGTTATTCTTAAGAGTTAGCAAGAGTGACAAACAAACGCTATAGTAAGAGTGACAAACGCTATTTGTCAATGCACAAGAAAATTGTTTTTCTTATCAAAAATACATTTTTGTAGGTGAGAGAGACAAATTGAGAGAATGACCCTTTGCAAACACTAGAGACGTGTGGTTACAATTTGGGAAGTGAGTCTATTATGTCATGCTTATTAAATGAGAGCAGATATTGAAGGTTCCAATAATGACTGGATCTATAAGATAGATGTAACTGGAATCTAGTTTTGTGCGATAGAAACTTCTACGACTGTAGCAAATAGGGGTATTTGTACTCTTGGCGTAAGTAGCGGAATCTAGCCCATTTGAGCTGCTAGAATTGGAAGTAGAGGTGTGCAACCAGATCGGGTTTACTCGGAAACCGGACCGGCCCACCAGAAAAATAGGTTCGGGAACCGGTTCACGTTTGAACCCGTCCGAGAATCGGTTCCATCTTTTGGGAACCGGTTAGAACCAGTCCGATTTCCGGTTCCAAGTGAAAAACCACCTGGACCGGTTTTAGAACCGGTTTTGTATGGAGGTCCATTTCTAATTTTATATGGCTAGAATTCAAAGCATTATATCAAGAAGGATAAGAGAGGTAATCATTATTTGCGAATAGTCTAACTTAAGGACTTGTAAGTATTATAGGGAGCAATTTCTTTTTTCTTAAAATTTTTGTTCTGTAACGAAAAAACTACATATCCAACTGGAACCTATGCTATTTTATCACGTCCATTAAATTATTAGGATAAGATAATCTGCTTTTGTATTAATACTTAAGATTGTTTGCACAATCAAACTTAGAATCTTTGATTTGAGTTATAAGTTTTCCTATTTGCTACATGGAAAAAATGAAACCAAAGAAAGGAACAAAAAAAAAAAAACAGGTTCTTGGGTAGACCTTGGAACCAGACCGAAAAAATACGATAGGTTCCAAAACAGGGTCTAGAGCAAATAAGATAGGTTTCAGGTTCCAAAAACTACGAACCGATTATAACATGGTTGGTTTCAGATTTCAAGTCTAGAACCGACCCACCCTGGAACCGATCACCCCTAATTGGAAGAAAGGACACCTCTATAATTCAGACTTGCAATTTCTCTTTTCCTAAACTCTTTAATTTCTGTTATTTATATTGCTAGTTTGCACAATCTGAAGCATAAATTTGTTGGATTTGGTTGTACAAACCGGTTTGTATTTTCTTGAACAGCAAATTTACTCCTTCTTAGTTTCTTATTCCGGCCTAACACATCACCCCAATTGCAAAAGGAGTCACTTATTTAAACACGCTATAACATAAAAAGAAAAAAAAACTTATCTTTTTTTTATGGATACTCTAAATACATTCTATAGAGACATGGTGCGAGTGAGAGGATACATACAATAAAGAAGCCATTGCCAACCCTACCTCACCTCATTTTGTCACCATGCCAAAAGCCTAGACCTGGTGAGGCTTCCCCCAACAAAATTTGATGTTTGATATAACTTTTAGGGAGCATACATTCTATATATTCCAAGAAACATGATAAAGTTTTGTTACATAATCTCCCTCAAATTAGGGGATATTCTATATATTCCAAGAAGTATGACCAAAAAAGTTTGGTGTATAAATCTCCCTCAAATTAGGGTTTTGCAAGAATATGTTCATTTCCTTCCGGTAATAGCAAAACCAATAATTTATTTGTGAAGGGGCACACGTGGAGTCACGGGGATCGGCTTAGAGCCAGCAAAACGGGCTATTGCAGCGACACCTGGCGCGAACGTGTCCAGAACTCGAACCCCCTCCATTTCCTTACCATAAACGGAAAGTGAAGGAGCAACTGTGTAATGACTGATATGGCATTTGACTCGCACTGTCTTGTGAGGGGACCTAGTTTACCCGCAAGGGGTCGATGTACATAGATTGTCCGAACATTGCAAGATCTTCTTTTGGCAACAAAAACATATAAAAGAGGAAAGAAAATAGAAATCCCATGAACCAGAAATGAGAGTCCGACCCTCTGCTTCTGCTTCAAGGACGACTACAAGAACTCGGATGTTTCTTTCTTCCCTTTTCTTTAACCAGTGGAAATGACTTGATTGAGTTCACGTCCTTGAGTGCAAGGGAGTGAAGATTGGCTGGCTTGATCGATTCTTTGAGCCCAAAGGATCATGTGTGGAACATCTTAAACCCCGTTTGAGAGCTTCTCATCGTCAACTGGGTCTTGATTTGCCCAAAAATAATATTTTGACCACCAAAAACCCTAAATTGATAAACCTGTGATAAATTTACCCTTTATTAGTTTCCGTTAAATTTTACCGTCAAATTTCAGAGTTTGATGACACGTGGCGGTTGAGGGTGCACCGGTTTGGCATAAATATACCAGTTTGTGATTTTTCTTGGTATTAATCCAATTAAATAGAAACTCACTGAAGGTAAATTTGTCATAAGTGTACAAATTTGAGGTTTTTCATGATATTAATAATATATTTATCAAATAATATTTCTACTTTATATTAATTTAATTTTTAAGGTGTGGATCGTGGATTACAAGAAATAATTTAAGCATTAGAAACTTTAATATCATTCTTTCACGAAACCCAAGTGTCAAAAAAAAAAACAAAAAAAAAGCGAAGAAACCTCCGTCCACTCATAATTAAACCCCACGCTTCACGGTCTCCCACACAGTGGGTCGTGTCGTGGATTCTTTGCTCTGTTCGACATTCTCTCTCTCTCTCTCTCTCTCTCTCTCTCTCTTTCGTGCATCAGCCTTGGCTTCTCTGCAAGATACTCGTGGGTCTTCTTGTTTTCGGTCGTCCCCGAAGCTAGGAAATGGCGGGCGGTGTGAGCAGGAAGATTTCGGCCGCATCAGCGAGGTCTCACACCAGGAGAGCTAAGCAGAGCTCTCCTGTTGTCCTGCCTTCAGGTCGATTGCTTGCCTGCCCTTTTCTTAGTTTTTCCTTCTTGTTTTTCCGTGAATTTTTTGGGGGCCTCAATTTGCTCTCGTTCCTCGTTTCGCGTTGGAACCAACGCCCCAGAATGGGACTCGCGGTTCGTGGATTCTTGGGGTTTAATTTTTCCTTTTCGTGTGCTCTGTTTCGTTTAGATTTGTTCCCCCTTTTTCTTTTTCTCCCCAATTCTGACATTTGAAAGAGAGAGTAGGATTGGGTATATCGGGGATCGATTTTTCAGTTGTGTTGCTTGGGTGTAGCTGGAGATAAGAGAGCTGTGTGGCTTGTGACGAACTGACTTGAAAGAACATGCGCCATGAAGTTCATGGCGAGCATTTGTTCTGGACTAATTTTGGGCAAACTTTTGCGGGATTTTTACTACAGTGAACAATTAGTCATATCTTGAATCTGATTAAGGCTCCGTTTGTTTCGTGGAGATTCAATGAATTGAAAAATATTTTCCTAAAAATAATAGTTTTTATCACTTGAAATAATTAGTTAATGAAAAATATTTTCGTCTACAACAATTTATATCTAAACATTTTTCACGAACGATAAAAATATTTATCGTTCATCCATTTTTATAAGCGATATAAGCGATAATTCATTTTTCGCGAAATAAACGCATCCTAAATTTCTGTACGATTGCTTCTTTTTGTAGCCGGACTGTCTCTGCTTTTGTTCACGTCTTATTTGGCATATAATGTCGGGTTAAAACTCCAGAGTTATGGAAGAAATCACACGTTTAACGGTTCTTAGTACAGCTTGTCTTATGTTGTCTAGTATTACCATTTTTGTTCTCATGAAATAATTAGCTCTATGAGTATATTTTGTCATATGTTCTTTGTACTTGCACCGCTGAGAAAAAAGAGATAAAGCTTGAGCTCAGCTGATGAGAATTTCGGGTTGTGTGAAGAATAGCTCTGTTCTTGGTACTTTGGAAATGTGACCCCTGAAATGGTATTGAAATTCTCTGACCAAAAGATCCCAATTGTTCTTTTATTTTTTTTTTCACCTTTCTTAACTCTGGCATTTTTCCTTATCTGAAAGCAAAGAACATCCACAGCTCTAATGTTCCGATTCCGTGCCTGTGTTGTTAAATTGCATTCTCATGTTTCAGGGATTTTCACCAAATTGTTGGTGGTTTTTCTTGTTGGAATTCTTGCATTGGCGTATCAAGCAATCCAACCTGCTACACCGAGGATACCGGGAACTCCAGATGGTTCCCCTGTTACAGCACCGAGGATAAAGCTTAGAGATGGAAGACATTTAGCATACAAAGAACACGGCAAGCCAAAGGACATAGCAAAATATAAAATTGTATTCGTCCATGGATTTGATTCTTGTCGGCATGATGCTGTTGTGGCCAGCACTTTATCTCAGGTGCTCGGATATTTTTCTTCCCATTCTGCTTCCGGTGTAGTATTGTTCCTGCTAAGACTCTCAGAATGCTATTTTTGCGTCCTTATGATTTCTTATTCACTGGGTTCTACCAGGAAACTATCGATGACTTGGGTATATACATTGTGTCCTTTGATCGACCTGGTTATGGCGAGAGTGATCCTGACCCAAAACGAACACCAAAGAGCATCGCATTAGACATAGAAGAGCTTGCTGATAAATTGGGTCTAGGGTCAAGATTTTATGTGATCGGACTTTCCCTGGGAGGGCAGGTGGTGTGGGGCTGCCTCAAGTACATCCCTCACAGGTATAGATCGCTTTATGTAACAATGAGTCTTACATGTATGAAACTACATTGCTCATGCTGACTTAAGTTTAAATAAAATGGGACATAGTTAAAAGCCGCTGCATTCTCTATTTACTCTAATTGTTTTTAAATGATCCACAGACTAGCAGGAGCAGTCCTTCTGGCTCCGAGCGTCAACTACTGGTGGCCTGGTTTTCCAGCAAGCCTGTCGACTGAGGCATACTACCAAAAGTTTCGGCAATACCAATGGACTCTCCGGGTCGCTCATTACACTCCCTGGCTTACCTATTGGTGGAACACTCAAAAATGGTTTCCTGCTTCTAGTGTTGTGGCTCGCCATCCTGATAATTTTTCTCCTCCCGACAAGGCACTCATTTCAAAGCTTCCCCCGAGACCATATGCGGTTTGTTAGCTTAACTCGCTTTAATAAGTCTTCTGCATATGCTTTCTGTTGTTTAACTACAGCTGTTAGTTTGATATTGAGAAGAATGAAGTTATGTACAGCTAGTTTCTTTGTGCATATATGCCATCTCATGAAAGGCAATCTTAGTAGCACGTGGCTTTGACTTGAGGGCCTGAAGCATATCCATGTTTTCCCTACGTTTCAGGGATCTGTTCATGGTCCAAGTTCTTTGGCTGCTGTAGGAAGCTTTTCTAGAAATTTTCGAGTATCATCACAATAATATATGCAACTTTTGCTGCATGGCATTGAGAATATTAAATTTGTTCCGAGTATTCTCTTCAAGGGAACATCTTGTATTTAGTGTTGAAAGGTTTGGCACATTACACTTCTACTCTGTGAATCTTTTGTTCATTATATTTTCACTTTAACATGCTGAAGATTTTGAGAAAGTGGAAAGCTTTATTTAGTTTGGTGGAGAGAACTTTTTAGTTCCTCTATTCATGCTTGGAGTCACATTTTGTTTTCTTAAGATAACTTCCTTATCGTGCATCAATTGCACTGAGAGATCCATGGCAATAGAAATGCTTCTTCTGTACCAGAGGGAAATGGATTTTCTCAGTGAAATGGTGATAGATGTACCAAGTAAACATGAATAGTTCTTTTCACAATATCTTTTCTCCCTGTCTGTTTAGCTAACCATTCGTGTAATTATACTAAAATGATGGACCGCGTATTCCTTCCTCAATCTCGCTATTATCTACAATTCCTGTTGCTTAGAACAGCATGATGGGCCTTTTGTTCTCCTCGATTTGTGGTAATCCTTGATTTATCTCAGACTGAGTTGTATTCTGCAATGATCAGGCACAGGTAAGACAGCAAGGAGAATACGAGTCTCTCCACCGAGACATGATGGTCGGGTTCGGTACCTGGGAGTTCGACCCAATGGATTTGGAAAACCCATTTCCCAATGGCGAAGGTTCCGTACATTTATGGCAGGGCGACGATGATTTGCTTGTGCCTGTGACACTGCAGCGTTTCATTGCCCACCGGCTTCCCTGGATTAAGTATCACGAGCTTCCGCAGTCTGGCCACTTGTTTTCCTTTGCCGATGGAATGTGCGATGCTATAGTCAAGACACTTATAGTTGGGGAAACCGCCATATCCCAATAACTCTAGGTAGAGAATTTGGATTCCTAATGTCATATTGATGCATCTATCATGTCAAGCGGTGTGTAGACCCTTTGTCTGGATAGTGGACATGCTGTTCTTCTGGTTTTATGTATTTTTTCCCCCAATCTGCATAGTATGTGGAGACAGAGGCCTTGTTAGTGGTTCTACTTCTTGGTCAGCTAGTTAAACAACTCCTTTGAAGACTTGAAACGACCATTTCAGCTAAACCTTTTTCTTGGCTGTTGGAAGAAGTTTCTTTCATCTTTCAAAGCATAGCTCACGGTTGACCCACGTATGACCATGAGAATTCCATGTCGTCAGAGTGGAATGCTATGTATTTTACACCTACCCTTGTCGAGAGATGTTGGTTTTTATGTCCTTGTGTTGACAAATTTTCTGTGTTCTGTTGAAGTAATACTTTAAGGAGTAGAAAATAGAAATAGTTCTTTTCGATGCTGTTGTCAAATGAAGAAATTTCACTAGCACTGTCCTTTTGGTATCATCATACATCCAGCTAGACAATTCTTTTGCGATCCCAAGTCGCAACCTCATCAAAAGCCGCATTGAGAAGATCAACACGATTGTTCGACAAAGCGAGATCCGCAGTCGTAAAAGACTGAAGTGAATAGATCTTTCGATCAAAGCCTGATCATCAACTGAACTATTGGATTTTGTGGACTTCTTGGGAATTAGAGGGGACTCAGGACGCATATATATTATGGATGCTTTGTCTTGCCGGGATTTCATCTTAGTTGTTTGCCACTTGGGTAACCTGGTCTGGTTCTGGAACTGACCGCAACTGATACTATTAAGTTCCGAGCTGGTTCCGGGAACCTAGAATTAGCTTAGAACTGGTCTAGTTCAGCGGTCTCGGGAACCAATCCAGCAAGGTCGTTTCATCGGCTCTTGGGATGAATTTATTTCTAATGCTTTTCTAAAAAGAAGAGATGAGACTTTCGCGCTTACCATAACTTGAGCCATGATCTTCAAGGTATATACAAGTACCTAAATTAACACTTGATGAAGAGTAATTTTCGTGATAGAAAGGTGCAACTTTCATACTTTATCATAAATAATGCTGGTTCTTGGGTAGAAGCAGGAACTAGCATGGAATGGACTGCATCAAGATACAACTGGTTTATGTATGGACTGGTATCTCAATTTTGGAGATCAATTCTCATATCTAGGTCAGGATCCGATCTGCGCTGAAAGGTCCTGTGTTCTGTTTGCCAAGTAAATATATATCATTTGTAGCTTTTAAATACGAAATTGTACATAAAAAGAAAAGATTGAATATAGGAGCAGGTGAACAAGTGAGTCGCATTGGGGGCCTCCTCTCTTCTTGAAGATTCAGCTCATAACAATCATGTATGATATTCTAAGATATTCTACCAAAAATTATGAACTGCATAGCACGAGAGATTGATGATATGGCCCAATCAAAACTTGCCTTAATTAGAAGATGTGATTGACTGCCCAGAAAGAAAATTTTCTACACGCGTTGTGCAAGGTGTTCTACCGATATTTTTATGGATTAGATAGATGTAATGTCTACAAGATTCAATTGCAACATTCAAAGTTAAAAGGCCTATAAAAGGAGAAAATATTTAGTGATTTGTGCACGCCACATCACGTGCTTACGTGACGTGCACAAATTCTCGTGGACCCACCAGTGGAGTGACATGTGGCTCTAACTTGAAATAAAAAAAATGTCATATTTTCAGACTCTCTCCTCTGGTGCCCCTAGGAGGACTGCCTTTCTCTCCTCTGGCACCTCTAGGAAGACTGAGCACGCAAGCAACGCATTTAATGCGAGCGTTCTCTCTCTCCCTCTCCCTCTCTCTCCTTTTTCACGTACGTTTGAATGGCTCTTTTCTTTTTCACTTTGGAGTCTCTTCACCTTTCCCAGAAAGCTTCTCTCACCTCATCTCATCCTTCGTTCTCCGCCTGCACCTCGTCGCCTCCACCTCCCGCTCGTCACCTTCGTCTCCGCCTTGTGACCTCAACCTCCTGCTTGTCGCCTCCGCCTCCGCCTCCACCCTCTCGCCTCCCCTCGTCGCCTCCGCTTTTCAAGTATTTTTTGGGCTTTCGATGATTGAAGTCTTTCTGCAATTCGTGCCTAAATTTCTTTATGTGTGGATAAAAGGAATTGTCGATTTCTTTTTTGTTCCTCTGGTTACTGCTTTTCCACTTCTAAAGCTTGAAACATGCAGCTTTAGCTAGTTTTGTGATATTATAAACGAAAGATGAGTCATTGTACATAATGCAAATCATGCTTGTTCACCATACACATTGTAATAGGTCGTACAATTTTCTGTTTCTGTTCGGACAAAATGAGATGAAACGATGCTGTGGCACAGTTTCCTTAGGTGCATAAACTATGTTTTTGTGTTTCTTTAGCTTAGAATCGACAAAGAGGAGAATTCATCTTGCAGACCCGGTTTTGCTTGGGTAGATTTGAGTTAGAATACGATTAGATAGAAATGCTCAAATTTTATACTTCTGTGATGCAAACTGTGATCTACTTCATCTGCATTTTCATGGGAATATTAGTGAAAATCCAGGGCTTTGTTATCTATGTAAAGAGCTTTGTTCATAAAATAATATTAAGGATTGGCCTGCAGTGAAGTGGATATGGCGTTTTCTATTATGATTGAAATATGCACAGTTCACAATCTTTTACAATCACTAACTTACATTTCAATCATGGGAATATTAGTGAAAATCCAGGGCTTTGCTATCAATGTAAAGAGCTTTGTTAATAAAATAATATTAAGGATTGGCCTGCAGTGAAGTGGGTATGGCGTTTTCTATTATGATTGAAATATGCACAGTTATCCCAGTGGCCACCCTTCTCACTTGAGAAGGGGGAGGTGGGGAGTTCGAATCCCCACCTTCGCAGGGGGGTACGGGTGGGGCCGCGTAATTTAAGATGTGGGTTTCGACGCCCACGCCCTGCAAGAGGTGGGGCACAAGTCTGAGTGTGTATCGTGAATGAGAGATAGAGTAGGACCGATCAAAAAAAAAAATATGCACAGTTCACAATCTTTTACAGTCACTAACTTACATTTGTACAAATTTTCGACAGATTATTCCAAGTACTTTGGTGCTAGCTCGATTTGTTCTCAAGGCAAATAGGTATGACTCATCCTTTTAGAATTAAATTTTTCACTTTATCCGCCTTCTTTAAATGATTAAAATTTTTCTTTTAAAAATTTATAGAGACTGCAGAGGATAATATCATCGTGCACAATATTGATAAAGAAATTGAAATTAGAATTGGCATGATATTTGCTAACGAGGATGCAGCATATAAGACATACAATGTATATGCAATTTCCGAGGGAGTTGGAGTGAGAAGAGGACAAAAGGCACACAATAGTAAAGGACTATTGCCAACATGCACATTTCTTTGTAATTGTAAAGGACACTCTCCACCAATTCTACCTCATGAAAAAAGCCCTGGATTTTCACTAATATTCCCATGAAAATGCAAATGAAGTAGATCACAGTTTGCATCACAGAAGTTGAAAATTTGAGCATGTCTATCTGATCGTATTCTGACTCAAATCTGCCCAAGCAAAACCGGGTTTACAAGATGAATTCTCTTCTCTGTCGATTCTAAACTAAAGAAACACAAAAACATAATTTATGCACCCTAAGGAAATCCGTGCCACAGCATCGTTTCATTTCATTTTGTCCGAAAAGAAACAGAAAATCGCACAATCTATTGCAATGTGTGTAGTGAACAACTATGATCTACATTATGTACAATGACTCATCTTTCGTTTACAATATCTCGAAACTAGCTAAATATGCATGTTTCAAGCTTTAGAAGTGGAAAAAGAGTAACGAAAGGAACAAAAAAGAAATCGACAATTGCTTTTGATCCACACATAGAGAAATTCAGTCATGAATTGTAGAAAGACTTCAATCATCGAGAACCTAGAAAATACCTGAAAAGCAGAAGTGACGAGGAGAGACGGGAGGGCGGAGGCGGACGCTGGAGACAGGGGCCACGAGGGCGAGGCGGGAGGGCAAAGGTGGACGCTGGAGGCGGAGGCCACGAGGGGGAGGCGGGAGGGTAGAGGCGGACGCCGAGAATGAAGGATGAGATGAGGTGAAGGAAGCTTTATGGGGAAGGTGAAGAGATTTTAAAGTGAAAAAGAAAAGAGCCGTTCAAACGTATGTGAAAGAGGAGACTGAGGGAGAGGGAGAGAGAGAATGCTTGCATTAAATGCGTTGCTTGCGTGCTCAATCTTCCTAGAGGCGCCAGAGGAGAGAGAGTATGAAAATATGGCATTTCTTTTTATTTCAGGTCAAAGCCACATGTCGCTCCACTAGTGGGTCCACGTGAGTTTATGCACGCCACGTAGGCATGTGACATGGCGTGCACAAACCACTAAATATTTTTTTAAAAGCCTATAAAAGGGACAAAGCTCGGACAGAAATGGCACGGTCAACAAGAACGAGAAACAAGAAAAATCGTGATCTATTGAAAGGGACCGGAGGCTATTGCCTCTATAAGTTTATTATATCAATTTGAGTGTTATTCTTAAGAGTTAGCAAGAGTGACAAACAAACGCTCTAGTAAGAGTGACAAACGCTATTTGTAAATGCACAAGAAAATTGTTTTTCTTATCAAAAATATATTTTTGTAGGTGAGAGAGACAAATTGAGAGAATGACCCCTTGCAAACGCTAGAGACGTGTGGTTATAATTTGGGAAGTGAGTCTATTATGTCATGCTTATCAAATGAGAGTAGATATTGAAGGGTTCCAATAGTGACCGGATCTATAAGATAGATGTAACTGGAATCTAGTTTTGTGCGACAGAAACTTCTACGACCGTAGCAAATAGGGGTATTTGTACTCTTGGCGTAAGTAGCGGAATCTAGCCCATTTGAGCTGCTAGAATTGGAAGAAAGGACACCCCTATAATTCAGACTTGCAATTTCTCTTTTCCTAAACTCTTTAATTTTCACTATTTATATTGCTAGTTTGCACAATGCGAAGCATAAATTTGACGGATTTGGTTATACAAAACCGGTTTGTATTTTCTTGAACAGCAAATTTACTCCTCCTTAGTTTCGTATTCCGGCCTAACACATCACCCCAATTGCAAAAGTAGTCACTTTTTTAAACACGCTACAACATAAAAAGAAAAAAAAAACTTATCTTTCTTTTATGAATACGCTAAATACATTCTATAGAGACATTGTGCGAGTTTGAGGATACATACAACAAAGAAGCCATTGCCAACCCTACCTCACCTCATTTTGTCACCATGTCAAATGCCTAGACCTGGTGAGGCTTCCCCCAACAAAACTTGATGTTTGATATAACTTTTAGGGAACATACATTCTATACATTCCAAGAAACATGATGAAAGTTTGGTTACATAATCTCCCTCAAATTAGGGGATATTCTATATATTCCAAGAAGTATGACGAAAAAGGTTAGGTGTATAAATCTCCCTCAAATTAGGGTATTGCAAGAATATGTTCATTTCCTTCCGGTAATAACAAAACCAATAATTTATTTGTGAAGGGGCACACGTGGAGGCATGGGGATCGCTTAGAGCCAGCAAAACGGGCTATTGCAGCGACACCTGGCACGAACGTGTCAAGAACTCGAATCCCCTCCATTTCCTTACCATAGACGGAAAGTGAAGGAGAAACTGTGTAATGACTGATATGGCATTTGACTCCTTGTGAGGGGACCTAGTTTACCCGCAAATGGTCGATGTACATAGATTGTCCGAACATTGCAAGATCATCTTTTGGCAACAAAAACATATAAAAGAGGAAAGAAAATGGAAATCCCATGAACCAGAAATGAGAGTCCGACCCTCTGCTTCTGCTTCAAGGACGATTACAAGAACTCGGATGTTTCTTTCTTCCCTTTTCTTTAACCAGTGGAAATGACTTGATTGAGTTCACGTCCTTGAGTGCAAGGGAGTGAAGATTGGCTGGTTTGATCGATTCTTTGAGCCCAAAGGATCATGTGTGGAACATCTTAAACCTCGTTTGAGAGCTTCTCATCGTCAGCTGCTTCTTGATTTGCACAGCAATAATACCCTCTGATCTGAATCAGGTAAACCTTGTACAATCTCTCTCCCTCCCTTTCTTCTCTCTTTTCTAGAGCTTCTGTTTTTCTGTATCCATTTTGCTTGTTGCTTGATCTTCATCTGTTGTGTACTTCAGATCAATCATTTGTTAACTAATATAGCTTCCCGTGAAGGTAGAACCTAGGAATAGGAGTTGATAGCAGCTGCTTGTAGAACTCTCTATCTCTCTCTCTCTCTCTCTCTCTACATCACTTGGTTTTGTTGATTTGATTTGCAAATAATTAGGGGACTATGGGATTTTTCTAAAGGAGGAAAGTATCTTCTTCTTTTTCTGGCAAGTGCCTAAAATGTCTCGTTTTGGAAGTGATGAACTCGTTCTTTAATAATTTAGATAAGACTAGATTTTCGATGTCAATTCTCGAACAGTTAAGATTATATGTGGACCACCTTTTGTTTCTATATCCATCGCTTTCGAGGAGGAAACCGTTCTTTATATGCTCTACGTAATTCCTTTCTTCACCTCCACCCCCACTTTTTTAATTTCATATGTGGTGTAATTGAGTTAGCAAGTCATATGCAATTCTGTAATAGCCAAAGGAAAAACAGAAAGTCATTTTCAGTTGTGTATACATACAAGGTTAAACTTGTACGACCAAGTCTCAGTAGCCAAGTTTATCTGTCATGGCTTGAAAGCCGATGCTGCTGATTATGTCTGATCTGAATGTATACAAGAGCGGAATTTCTCAAGCACAGCACTAAAATGTTTGGCCCAATGCAGCAGCATCAAGACTCGATGAGTGAAAGTTTTGCTTATAGAAGTCCTTGTGCCAGAGATGTAAGCCATTTTCTGGGTCAGGTTCTGTCTGAAAATGTTGAGATCAAAAGACTCCTTTTCATTCATTCTGAATATGTTTGACTTTTACAGATCACCTTACTAATTTCGATTTAGCTGGCAAATTTTTATCGTTCTGACTTCTGACTACTTAAGATACAACGAGGGAATCCCATAAATGTTAAGAAAGAGTATTTGCTGGTGGCTGGTGCTATATTAAATTTGAATAAGATTTCGGCAGTTGAATCCAGTCGACCCAAACATCGGTAATTTGTGCAGCTAGTAATTTTCTGTGATACTACCAAGTAAAGACTCGCTCCGTGAATTGTGTCTTTAAGAGAGAGTGTGAAAGTGTCGTAACAGGTAATTTCTTTTAATCCAACATGGATCCTGACTGTTTCGACTGTTTCTTGAAATGTGAATAGTTTGGTCTAATACAATGAATCCAGTTACTAATGCGTTTATGCTTCTGTCCGAGTTAGAAAGCAAGCTCATATTTCTCTGATAATAATGATCTGTCTCTTCGCTGGGTTAATTGGTAGAATTAAATTACCCGACAAACCTCGAAAGATCTCGGAGATTCCGGAATCATGTCTCTTTTCTCAGCAACACTTGCCTCTTAAGAAAAACTCTTGTCTGTCATCATTTATCATTCATAATCAATCAATAAATTTAAGTATCCTCCTTTTTTCCGTATGCTTTTTCTTTCTTATGAAGGTATAAAAGGAAATCCAATTCAGATCGCGAGATGGTGGTGTCAAAGACCGAGATCATTCCCCCGGAAGAGATAGAGTCCGAGTTACAAACCGATCAACAGCCCAAGAGCCATCCTTTCTCATCCCTCGGGAGGCAATCCTCAATTTACTCATTGACCCTGGATGAATTCCAGCACGCACTCTGCGAGAGCGGCAAGAATTTTGGCTCCATGAACATGGATGAATTCCTCACCAGCATCTGGAATGCTGAAGAAAACCAAGCCGTAAACACCTCCGGCAACAATAACACCACCAACAACAGCACTGAGAACGCGGATCAACATGTGTCCCTGGGTGGCACGTCCACCAGTAAAGGCATAGCCAAGCAGCCGAGCCTACCCCGCCAAGGCTCGCTCACTTTACCCGCTCCGCTGTGCCGGAAGACGGTGGACGAGGTGTGGTCCGAGATCCACAAGGGTCAGCAGAGCCATCAGCAAAGCAACAATGTGCAGAATCCCGAGGACGCCCCTCGCCAGCCGACTTTCGGGGAGATGACGTTGGAGGATTTCCTGATAAAGGCAGGGGTGGTTAGGGAACAGCACATGCTGCATCCACCGCCGACTCAGCAGCAGCAGCATCAGTTCGGGATGTACCAGAACAACCTGTCAATTGGGCCCAGTTTCGTCCCCAGGCCCATAATGGGAATGGGTGGAGCCGCTGCTAACGCAGCGCCATACCAACCAATGGCTGCTGCAATCGGAGAGGCATCGGTGTATCCGGCAAATGGGAAGAGGAACGACGGATATGCGACGGCACCAATGCCGGTAAGTTATGGTCAGAGGGTGAGGAACGGAAGTGGTGGCGGCGCGTACGGGGCAGGTCAGGCAATGGGTATGGGAGTGCTAGTGAATCCAGTGTCTTCGAATGGGATGTGTGGCGCACCGGTCGAGAATTCTGGAGGGCAATTTGGAATGCAGATGGGGGGAGCGAGAGGAGGAAGGAAGAGGATAATCAATGGTCCAGTGGATAAAGTGGTGGAGAGGAGACAGAGGAGGATGATAAAGAATAGAGAATCAGCTGCAAGATCTAGAGCCAGAAAGCAGGTACAAGTGCTCTATCAATTTGTAGTGTTCAGTTCATTGTGCTGTTTCCTGTCCTTCATTCATAACATCTCCTGGATACTTTTGGTACTGCCTCGAAATAAAGAAGTGATGCATCAGCTACAATGATATAGTTTCTAAACTTCCTATAGCGCTACAAACTTACACAGAGGAAAAACACAAACATAGCGATGATTATCATTGACAAGTTTTAAAGTATATGTATTTGATGCTCTTGATGCTTGTATCAGGATTTAAAGTTGGCAAGTAGACAAGCACTTGCTTCATTAGTATTTCAGAAAATTTTGTGTTGTGAAGTGTATGGTTAGACACCTGAATAAAGGACTCATGAAAGGTTGATGGGACCAGAATGGTCATCTCATGTTCTTCCATTGATGTGCACGTTATTGGACTTTGGCTGGATTCAGTTCATAAATCAAGGAGTGAGAATTGATCTAAAATTGTCTCCAATTTGGTAAAGGAATGGCAGGCCAAGAGGTTGTTTCGGAATGGAAATGCCTGTGCTGAATGCAGAGTTGTGGATTGAGCGTGCTGACTCTGGTTGTAGATTGTTTGGCTACTGCATCACCTGGCATATATTCACACACTGTATTGCCTGGTGATTGTCAAGATCTGACTTTGTACACCCTGGCACTTGCTTATTGCTTGTGCAGGCTTATACAGTCGAACTAGAGGCGGAGTTAAACCAGTTGAAAGAAGAAAACGCACACCTTAAACAGGCACTGGTAATGCCGGCATCTATGGTAATTACTTCTATTGGGACTTGATCTATGTTGAGCTAATTCTGGTTCATTCTTCCCCGAACTTTAAACAGGCGGAGCTTGAGAGGAAAAGAAAGCAGCAGGTACTCGACGTTGTAATTATAATTTGCTGCAGAACACACAATTTTCTGCATGACAACGTTTTTGGTCTTGTTTACATGTGAAGAATGACCTCAAGGAACCAAACAATACAGGGACTGCTCGTATATGAGTCAGTTCGTGCATGATCATCTTATTCCGTGTCTTTTGATTGTTTGTTTGCTCATGTCGGTAGGACTGTTTCGCAGTATCAAGAAGAGCTGAGGTTGAAAGCTCAAAGTCAAACCAGGGCATACAGAGCGAAGGAGAAACTGAGGATGATCAGGAGGAACCTGAGTTCCCCCTTGTGAAGTAAATCGGTATTTCTTTCGAATCCAATCTCTGCTTATTTGGTTAGCCTCTTCAGTTACTGAAAAGGCTTTACCTTTAATTTGTTCCTGATGAGTGAAACTTCCGCAGCAAATTGAGGAACTGAACAGGAAAGCCCTGGAAGAGATGGGATAAGTCGGAAATTCATAGTTCACCCGTGGTCTGTGGAAATGCTTGGCCGTACAGTCATCCTAAGGATGTATCAGTCGAAGATGTCAACGAAATGTTTTTCTTTTTTATGCTCTTCCCCTTTTTTCTTCTTTTGGCCATAGTTGTGAACTGAGAGTATGCATGCTTTTCTAATTGACGTTGGTATAGTAGTTGTCAGTAAAAGATAATGCAGATAAAAAGTTATAGACATGAAAGGTCAATTTTAAAATGCTGATCAAGGAGAATTGCATCTTCGGTTGTTAATCGCCATCTCAAGTCGATTCTTTGTTTCATTCGATTCCGAAAGAAACCCGATCTGACGTCGGTGCCAATTGCCATCTTAGGTGGTTATATCATTCCGTTTCTATTATTAAGGGTGTGGATGTGCTTTGCATTGCATTTTCAGATTTCAACATGGTTGATATTAAAGCCTCGTGCAAGAATGTAAGAACAGCTCGAGAGACATTCAATGACTTTTAGCTTTGTTTCAACCCACGAAAAGCTCTAGCTTTAAGCAGATGAGCAACACAGATCTTCTAAAACTCTTGAAGAGAGCAAGCTGCATGTAGTGGTGGGATAGATTTGTTCTTTACCTTCTTCGCAAGCACTTGGGCTTCTGTCTCGTTGCAAGCTTATACGGTGATGGGCATTGACTGATTTGAACTTGAAGAGCACCCAACATTGCCTTAGCTTAGCTCTTTCTCGTACATTGAAACATCGTAGCCTCGTTAATCGTTCAGAGTCAAGACTTATCTCATTCATTTCAGTAGCAAATCGCAGGCTCGTGCACATCTATTACGAACCGCAGTCCTGGGAACCAACGATGTCAATACCAAAGGAGAGCTGACGTCCTAAAGTCTGGGAGAGTTGGTCGAGGTCTTCATCCTACGGAACCCAGTCACCCCTCAGGTTTAATGTCGAGTTTGCAGAATCAGCGAAGTGCTGCTCAAAGGCAGTTTGTAATTGTAATCCCAACCATCATATCCACTGGTAGTTCTATCATGTTGCTCCATATTGTGATGACGAATTCGCATAACCGCTCGGCAATCGTCCATGCTTCAATCAGCTGAACCCGACATTCCATAATCACAGCCATCGTAGGCCCTAGTACATTAGAAACACCGGTGTCAAAAGCCTCCAATCATTAGATGAGATCTTACCAATGCAAACACTCGATCGTCTCTCCAGTCTTCCTTACGGTGAAGGATGGTCTGGCATGTTTTGAACCAGACGCTCAATTCCAGAAACTGCCCAGGACCATTGCCGTTGCTGCAATTGTGTTGAGATGAAAAACTAAACTGAATACTTGGTTAGGTCTATGTGACCCCAAGCTATCTATTTATAATAAAGTCAAAAAGGCCAAAATTATAATATTAACCTTATTGCTGTAATATATAAAATAATAAAGGAAATAGACAAATATGCCCCTATTAGCCAAGTACTCTCAACACTCCCCCTCAAGTTGGAGCATAGATATCACACATGCCCAAATTAACTAAAACAAGATGAAACGATTTACTCCCCAATCCTTTAGTCAACACATCAGCAAGTTGATCACCGGACTGAACAAAGGGCATACAAATTAAACCACTCTCCAACTTCTCTTTGATAAAGTGCCTGTCAATCTCCACATGTTTTGTACGGTCATGCTGTACAGGATTATGAGCAATACTAATGGCGGCTTTATTATCACAATATAGCATCATAGGAATAGGAACAGATACACCAAGATCTTCAAGTAATCCTTTAAGTCATAACAGTTCACAAACTCCATGTGCCATTGCACGAAATTCTGCTTCAGCACTAGATCGAGCAATCACATTCTGCTTTTTGCTACGCCAAGTCACAAGATTCCCTCCTAAGAAAGTACAATACCCAGAAATAGACTTTCGATCAGGAGATCCAACCCAATCAGCATCTGTATAGGCTTCAACTTTCAAGCCATCACGAGGAGATAAAAGAATCCCTTTTCCGGGAGCAGACTTCAAATATCGAAGGATTCGAAGAACAGCATCCATATGAGTAGAGTATGGATCATGCATAAACTGACTCACTAGGCTCGCAGCAAAAGCAATATCAGGTCTGGTGTGTGATAAATAAATCAACTTGCCCACTAACCGTTGATAACGACCCTTATCTACGGGATCACCATCCTTTTCTCGAAGACGAGTATTGACCTCAATAGGCGTATCAGATGGACGACATCCTAACAACCGAACTTCTGTTAAAAGATCAAGGACATACTTCCTTTGGGATAGAAAGATACCTTTTGAAGATCTGGCAACTTCAATCCCAAGAAAGTATCGGAGCTTTCCAAGATCCTTTATTTCGAATTCTTGTCCAGGAAAATTCGTCAACCGGCTTATCTCATCAGTATCATTCCCTGTGACAATAATGTCGTCTACATAGATCATAAGAATAGTGACTTTAGCACCTGATCTCTTCACAAACAAAGTATGATCAGCATTACTTTGTTTATACCCAACAAAGATCATAGCTTTCTGAAACCTACCAAACCAAGCTCGAGGTGATTGCTTTAAACCATAAAGTGCACGTTTCAGCTTACACACTTTACCTTGAGTTTTGTCACAAGAAAAACCTGGAGGAATCTGCATATATACCTCATCTTCTAACTCTCCATGAAGAAAGGCATTCTTCACATCTAACTGCTGAAGATCCCATCCCTGGTTTACAACACACGAAAGTAACACTCGAACAGTATTCAACTTGGCAACAGGAGCAAAGGTTTCTTGATAGTCAATCCCATAAGTCTAAGTAAATCCATTCGCCACCAACCGTGCTTTATATCTGTCCACAGTACCATCCATCTTCTGTTTGACTACAAACACCCACTTACATCCTACCGGTTATTTCCCAGGAGGAAGAACAACAAGATCCCACGTGTCATTTTTCTTTAAAGCATGCATTTCCTCCACCATTTCTGTCTTCCACTTCTCATTTGCAAAAGCTTATTGCCAATTCCGTGGAATAGAAACAGAAGATAGAGAAGATACAAAAGTACGATAAGAGCTGGACAAAGAGTCATATGAAACAACATTGGATATAGGGTGTTGAGTACAAATTCTAATACCCTTTCGGAGTGCGATAGGAAGATCAGAAGGAGAAACCTCATCAGAAGGAATAGTAGAATCCGGATCCGGAGATGATGACTAAATAGGCAATGTATCAGTGGTCTTAACCTGCGTGCTGGTAATGGAATTTCTACGACGATATGTCTTCAATGTTTCCCCACTATCAATCCGCCTTTGAAAGATACCCATACTTTGCTTAACAGGTGTGGTCTCCTCCTGAATCTCTGATATCTCCCCCTGAAGTATTGCATTATTCTCTACTTGCGTTGCATCGTTCTCCTCTTGAGAAGGAGAAGGAGAACGATCAGAGACTATTGGAGGAGGAGGAGGAGGAGGAGAAGGAGAAGAGTAAGTAATATCCTTAGGAACATCTAGAATTGGCAACACCTCTACACTAGGACACTCCCCCTGAAGAGGTGGAGCGGAATAATAAGAAGTAAACTCATGAAAAATCACATCCATAGATATAATACTGCGCCTAGAAGGAGGATGATAACACTTATAACCCTTTTGAGTAGCTGAATACCCAAGAAATATGCAGCGGAGACCGCGGGGTTCCAACTTACTCTTAGAGGTAGTATTACGAGCATAACAAACACAACCAAAAATTTTTGGAGGAAGAATAAAAGTTGATGATCCCTGTAAAACATCAATAGGTGTGCGAAAATCAAGAATTCTAGTCGGCATCCGATTGATTAAATAGGCAGCGGTTAAAATAGCATCACTCCAATACTGAGAGGGGACATGACGTGCAAACATAAGAGACCTGGCGACCTCTAACAAATGTTGATTCTTTCTTTCGGCAACACCATTCTGTGTTGGGGTATCAACACAACTAGTCTGATGAATAATGCCATGATCAAAGAGATATCGTTGAAACTGACCTTCAGTGTACTCAGTGCCATTGTCACTGCGAAGAATTTTCACAATGGCGTTGAATTGAATTTGAATCATTTTGTGAAAAATTTGAAAATAACGAAAAACGTCACTCTTATGCTTCAACAAATAAACCCAAGTTGCACGAGAATGACAATCGATAAAAGTAACAAACCATCAATGACCAGAAATAGAAGTACGTCGGGAAGGACCCCACACATCAGTATGAATCACATGAAAAGGGAAACGACTTTTATTATTTGAAGATGAATATGTAGAACGAGTTTGTTTAGCAAAGACACAAGCTTCACAAAAAAACTCATCTTTATTACAAGCTGAAACGAGACTTGGGAAAACTTTTTCTAAAGTTCCTAAAGGGGGATGACCTAATCTGCAGTGCCACTGATGGAGATCTGTCAATGCTGAATTAACTTGATGGGGCGTAGTAGACGACATAGAAGTAGAAACCCCACTACCCTCGAGCAGATAAAGACCACCATCCAATCTACCATATCCAATCTCCTTCTCCGTTACCAGATCCTGGAAAATACAGTAAGAAGGGAAAAAAGTTACTTTACAATTTAAGTCTCGAGTCAAACTACTAATAAAAAGGAGATTAGTAGAGAATGATGGAATATGTCAAACAGAAGACAAGGGAAGAGTGGAGGAACAATTGATAGACCCTTTTCCAGCGATGGAAGAGAGGGTTTCATCAGCTACACGAACTTTGTCTCTACCGGAAGTAGGGGTTTATTGATGAAAGAGACTAGAAGAACCTGTCATATAATCTGTAGCCCATGTATCAATGATCCATGGGCTGGAAACAACAGATGTATTAAACCCCCAAAGAAGATACCTGAAGTGGCTAGATTTGAAGCAAAATGGGAAGACGAATTGGCAACTGTGGAGGAAGCAGCAGTAGTTTCAGTATGGTTTACTTTGTTTTTTGTCTTTCTCTGTGCTTTTTTTTCCTCAAAATCTGTAGGTTTTCCATGTAACTTCCAGCAGGTAGCCTTAGTATGATAAGGCCTATGACAATATTCACACTTCACAACTTCCTTAGGGGTATCATTAAATCGAGAGAACGAACCAGATTTAGTAATAGTGACAGCACTAATTTGTAGAGCAGATTGATCAATAGTAGAGGACTGGAGCATTGCTGTCCTATGGCTTTCTTCTGAGTGAACTAGGGCATAGGACTGTTCCAGAGGGGAATGGAGACCGGCTAAGGACTTGAACACGTATCTGATCATATTCAACATTCAATCCTGCCAAGAAATCATAAACTCTGATCTT